GCAAAATTTTAAATTTTACAAAATTTAGTGATCAACAAGTGATTGTATGGAGTGATTTTTTCTTATCTTTACTAATGTTGTGTTATATGACTAGGCGTGGTAGTGACTATAAGGGAGGAGTGACTATATGGGAGGCGTTTTGTATATAAAAAATCTGGGATCAAACCTTCAGTGACTATAAGGGAGGAGTGACTATACAGGAGGTGACTATATGGGGGGCCGACTGTATATAGTAGAAACACTTATCACGTCAAGTGTAGGAACAAATTACTGGATTCAGGAATCAAGATAACTACTGGAAAACAGATTTGACCAAATTGATAGTTGAGTGATTTCGAGATTTTTGTTTTATTTTTTCAATCTTTATTGCATAAAATGTTCATGGATGTACCAAAAATATGACAATTGTGGCATATCAATGTAGTAATAAATAGTATTAAATCATTTAATAAAAAAATTTGTATTAGTTCATTTTAAACTTTAGTATTAGGTTCAATCCTTTTGGATTTAATGGTAACAGATCACGTGTTTTCAGATCAATTTTATATATATGAGAAATAATTCATTTGGAGATGTGCTACTTCATGGATACTTAGCACTATCGTTTTCCATCATGTGCATCAAAAGATTTGCATCATTTACCGCTCTTTTTACATTCCTTCTAATATTTTTTCAAGTTGTGGTATTGAAATTTAAGCAATTAGCCTTATGAAGTACATCATTAACATTTTTTTTGTCTTCTAACTAAATCTAAGAATTTTAAGGAAGATTAGCTATGAAATTGGTTAAAGCAACTTCATTTGAAGCTTTTAAAAATTTATATCCTTGCGCTACCTCATGTACGAAGGCAAGCTGGTCTAGGACATCATTACCAATAAGAGCGCTGTCTACTTGATCGCCAGGATTTTTTTCCCAGACTCGGAGTGTGTCTATACTCACCCACTTAGTCCAACCATTATCATCCCCAATTGCAACTTCAAATGTTGTCGATGCATGAACCAGGAGAGCGGGTGCTCCATATCCAATAGTACCACCAAGGGCAGTTTTCCATCCTCTTCTTCCAAATGTCCTACGGACATGATAAGGAAGGATTGTTTCTGGTGCACCTGAATCGAGAACAGATTTATACAACTTATTGTTTCCTACAGGATCACGAAAATTGTAACCAAGCATAATGGAATTCGTCGTTCCTAATCTTCTAACTTGAATTCTAACCTTTATTGTAAATAAGCAAATAACACAAATACATATTGATTATTTTGCACTAATTTTATCACAGATTTAAAACACAACAATTATTCAAAGATCAGACCAATTGTTCATCCCTAGTACGTAGAGCACACACTGTCCTTGCTGGCAGAGCTTTCACAAGTCTGTCACGACGCAATTTATCAACTGGTAAATATATTGCACCAGGCATTTCATCTTCGAGGTCATCTAGCTCTTTACTTGTATATTCTGAT